AAAGAAAGAAAGAAAGAACGAAAGAAAGAAAGAAAGAAAGAAAGAAAGAAAGAAAGAAAGAAAGCTATTCTTATGATGGAGTCACTGGAAAAGAAAAATCATGCAGTGTAGTTTTATGGCATATGGTCTGGAAAAATTAATACGGGATTCACTTCCACTGCTTCAAGGTTTCTTCAATTTATTTCTACTTCCTGAGAAAACAACTGTGATGGAGATCTAAGCTTTGGACTCCAATTCAATCACTGGATAAAATACTATGGTAGATTTACAGGAATGTAATCACAACGATGTAAATGGTAGCAGTGAATTGCCACCAACTGAAGAGTTACAGTTTGCGCTCCTAGAGAATTGCCACCAATTAATGAGTTGCCGCCTGCAATCCTAATCATGTGCCAAGTCACGCAATGAGGAATGCAAGTGTGACTCCTTAATTAGTGGCAATTCACCATCATGTTTTATGCCATTATACTTACGCCAGCAGAAATCTACAATACAGTTTAATGTACCCCATTGGGTTGTTGTGAAAATTGTAAAAAGGAAGCATCACTATAATCATCATCTTAGAACTACAGAGCTGGTCACTGGGTTGTTGTGAAAATTTTAAAAAGGAAGCATCAATATAATCATCGTCTTAGAACAACAGAGGTGGAAGGGACCCTAGGGATCATTAAGTCCAGCCCTGTCAGGGAGTCCCAGTGGGGAATCGAACGCCCATGGGCGATATAAAAATCAAATAAATAAATAAATAAATAAATAAATAAATAAATAAATAAATAAATAAATAAATAAATAAATAAATAAATAAATAAATAAATAAATAAATAAATAAGGAGGCCCAGTGGGGAATCGAACTCCCATGGGCAGTATAAAAATCAAATAAATAAATAAATAAAATAGTACTACTATCATTAAAATATGCTCTAGAGTTCAGCTGGGCTTTCTTCAATCTAATATCCTGACTGGGGATGATGCTGTTATTCTTCAATAAAAAGCTTGAAAAATTTACAGTCATTTTAGCCCACGAATTCTAGTAATTGTAGCTCCACAACTTTTCTGAGATCTGGTGCAGCCCCTCTATAGGGCATGAACTTGGGGTGACGTCTGATATAAAGAAAATGATGATGGGTAAGACAAAAGAGGTAAGTAGTTCACCCTCCTGTTTCTCCCAGTGGCCAACCAGAAGTGTCTGGGAAGCTGATCAGACTTCGAGACTATCATCATAGAGTTGAAAATCAAAGTCCATAGTTCAACTATGTATGGGGTTTGATGTGCTGGAAAACTAACCACTCAAATGCTACCGGAGGACCACCGACTCGTCATCAGGGACCAAATCCTGCAAATGAGCCATGAATCCGATATTTCATCAGGTGCATCCGATGAAAGAAGCTCCAGCCTAGAAAAGCTTATGCTAATCAAAACTTGTTAATCTTTAAACTCACCACTTTTAACACACTTGTTATTTTGCTTGATTTATGCTCTCACTTCCTTCTCTTAAAATAACAGACGCA